CCTCTTAGAAAGAGGTACAGAGCATGCTGAGGCCAACTTCTGCCTGTTTGGGGTTTGTGTACTTTTAAGAGATTTTAGGAAATTCTTAAGCAGGGGCCAAAGCCAGCCACTAGTGAGAAATAGCTGCAGAAAGAGATTCACATTCCTGTGTGAGTTGGGTGAGGCTCGGTCTCAGGAAATCTCCAGGAAGGGATGAGTGGTGTTAGCCAGGTTGATGGAGACTCAGATGTGGTGCCCACCTGCACCTGCAGGTTGAGTGAGGAGATAGCTCCACAAAGGGACACTTGTGCCTGACAGAACTTCCAGTTGAGCCTGCCAGCTATGTGTGGGGAGGGCTCAACAAAGGAACAATGGCACCTGCCAGCTCTTCTGTTTGGAGAGAGCTGCCGCTCCAGCCTTGCCTTGAAGTCAGTCAATTCAGTTCCTCCCTGTATTTCTCTGTGATTTGTGAGCTGCTGTCTGTTTTCTGGTGCTTAGGTTGAGTGTTTTTAAGCAAGTGAGTCTGTTCTCAGGCCCTTTAAGAGGACTGGGTCTATAGCATCTCTCCATCTTACCCGATGGATTCCCTGTTGATTTTCACAGCCAGGTATTGTGGGGACTCCTCTTCCCAGAACTGGCACTCCAGGCTGGGAAGACCAGTGTGGGGCTGGGACACCTCACTCCTCAGCAGGGACCTCCTCAGTGAGATATCTCTCCCAATTCTTAACCACCACATGTGGGTGTGGGACCATTGCATTGGTGTCTACCAGTCTTGATGTGGCTTCTTCTTTATATCCTTAGTTATAGGAGTTCTGCTCAGCTAGTCTTCAGGTGGTTCTCTAGGGTGTTTTTTCTATAATTTAGTTGTAATTTTGATGTGGTCATGGGAGGAGGTGAGCACAACATTTACCTTGGCTCAGTTTTATTTTTATTATTCTAAATTTACGGATTAAGAAACTGAAGCACAGAGAGCTGAAAGAAACTTGTTTAAAGCAGTAAGGTAGTAAGTGACAGACATAAGATTCAAACTTAGTAATCTTCTAGATTCCATGTTCTTCATCCATCATCTATACTGGTAGAAGCCTTGTGAGGCAGAGTTGGACATCAGAAATTCACTGTCTTAAGAGGATATTAACATGGCAGGCAGGATGTAGGGTGGTGGGAGTGGGGACTGTAATCCTTTTGGATGCACATGCATGAGAATGACTTTCTTGGCTAAGGGCACATCATTTGTCCTTGCCATCTGAAGTCAAGATGATTTGCTGTCTTCTTTTCCTGAGCTGTGGCTCTTGGCTCAAACATTTTTTTCACTTTGATTCCCCACAGATATAACTTTTAGAAAATGTTCCTTAACTTTCAAATCTTGCCACCAGAATATTTTTTGAAAGCCTTTTCTTGCTATCATGAGGAGTATTTCATGCCTTATTGATGTAAGTATTATCTCAAACAGGAGCAATCTGTGTCAGCTTGCTAATGATGAAAAATAAACCTGAATGACCTCACTGCACAGGCCTCTCAGGTGCCTTTGAAACTAGCAGAGATTTCTAGAGTTCAAGCTTTTTCCACTTTTCCTGGA